ATTTTTATCCCCTAAAAATTTTTCATCTGTTTGGATTTCCTAGCTGAAAGTCTAGTGATCCAAAAAATTATAGGGATCAAAAAATTTCAGCCAGAAAAAAGGCTCCCGAAAATTCTAGGTCACCTTTATAGGGTAAAAATCCGTTAAAAATGGGCAATTATACCATTTTTTAGATGTTCGAAAACTCCTAGAAGAGGCGGGCAAGCAAGAAATTTTACAACAAATGTTCCGATCGTCTTCCGAAAAGATATTTTCCGAAAATTGACGTTGGGTGACCCTGATTAATTTCCCTCCCCTCTACTCCCCGACGGTACCATAATATATATTTGTCATACTCTCCGGGAGAGATTCCTCTCCACCTGTCCTCTCGTATATTAAAGTACATCTGCAGACCCAGACTGCTTGTGCGGGTACAATGGTCCACATCAACCAACTAGGTTTGCCGAAAGAGTTTTATCCAAGCACGTGTTTCTTTGTTCAACGTTGCTCAAGGTGCAAGGTTGCTTGAACACATTTTGGCCAACTACTCGCTGTTTATAAGGCCGTTAAGGCGAGAGCTAGTTGCAAACCAAACACCAGTTGAACAGAAGGAAGATTAGAGTCAGTTCAAAATACTCACGGGCTCTCCACAATGCTTACTTTTCTTTGCGGCACACGGCATCTTCTAGTACGCCAGCGAGTACCAATGACACAGGGACTTCTTTTAGGACGATTAATTTCAAAGGAAACTCGGGCTTCGTTTTCTTCTCCATAAGGGAAATGCAAGAACGAGACGATCAGCAGGCAAAGAACGAGCATCTTAATGTAACCAAACATTTCGGATCAGCTCGTACTAGTGAAACGGGAATACATCGAAAGGGTTGAAACAAAAAAGGCTGAATAGAAGTTTTTGACGAGTTTTAACCAAGCCGAAAATAGTCGGTTGAAACAATTAGATGTACACGTGATCAGTAGCACGATCTTTTCCCGCGCCAGCGCGTGCGGGCAATAGAAGCGAAAGAGGCGCGAAGGGACTGAAAAGTTCTTCGAAGACTGATACCAAGAATGTTTAGCACCAAAAACAAAAGTTAGGTAAATCATACAGAGCGCTTTGCAGGGTAATTACGGTTTTTTTTAGTAGTATATGTGACAAGAAAACGGCCTGACTGTGTCTATATGCCCCGGGGGGGTACTCCTGGGAAATCTTGGTGGGGGTGTGCCCCACGGTTCTCCAAATCCTGACCCGGAATGTAATTTTCCACGCCCGTTTTCAGACCTGGCCTTTAGGCAGAAATTATGTCATCATTACTTAGATTAGAGCGCAAACAAAAAAATTCTTCAAATCCATGTCGAATTCCCATATTTTTCTTTCTTTCTTACTCGTTTAGCCGTGAAACGATAAAGACGTTCATACAATCCCGTAGTTCCCTCAAAAACCGTGCCCGATTCCAGACCAAAATGGGCAAAGTGTATACCTGTTTTCAGACCAAAACGGCACAAAAACCCGACCCGATGGGGCGGCACATACCTATATAGCTTATATAAGGGAGTGCTCCCCCCGGGCTATATGCCCGGCAGCCGGAAAGAGTCTTAAAGAAACAAAATGCAAGACAATCCAAAATTTTTCTAGAATTTCTGCACAATGCCCTTGACGCGACCTTTTCCCGCGCCATCCCGTACAGAGCGCTTTGCGGGGTAATTCTGGTTGTTTGTAGTCTACACGCAGCCTAGTCCCTAGTTAAGTCCCTAGGCGTTCTCAGCACGGTCAATCCTGGACTCTACAGTGAGCAGCGACGTACACCAAGAGAGAATTGACGGGCTGTTTTCCAGACTTCGCGCCGACAACGGGTCAGGGGGGAACGCCTATGGACTAGGCTGGTCTACACGTATATGTGACAAGAAAACGGCCCGGCTGACTACCTTTAAGAGGCGCTTTCCAGCAAAAAATGCCAAGGGTCAATCAAAATGGGTTAAATTCCCATGAAAAATGAAGCGCGCGCGCGGATATTGTAAAACACGACAGTACATATTATCTGACGACAAGCTTACACTGATGATGGCTTTGATCTGACCGCTAAATTACTTTTCGCCGAAAAAAGTTGAAAAAAAAAACGACAACAACAAAAAACAATGGGGCGTTCCCTTTTCAAAATCATGTTTAATTAAAGTGACTGTTGCCTCCACTACCGAAAATCGTAATTGTCCCTATCCGAAAAGTCAGCTCAAGAATGATTTTCACAAGAATATTTGTCCAGAAGAGGGACATTTCCTAAAAGAGGGCCAAAATAAAATAAAACGAGACAAAACAAAGAAGATATATAAAAACAACAAAATGAACAAGAGGAAAGACAGAAAAGTCCAAATTTAGTCGGGAATTATGAACAGAAAATCACACATTTTGTAGCTGAAACTGCTGCTCTTTATAAAACTCCATTATAACGATACATGTACATCAAATTTAATCGAGACTACCCTATTAGGTGGAAAAGCTTTTAACCTGGTGAGATCAAAAACATTTTTTACTCCAATCAGTTTTTTTCACGTTTTTTTTCTTGTTGAGCGTGAACTTGGCATGACTTTTCCTTTACTCGCAAGTGGTGTTTTTGTTTGCCTTTTTTTTTTTACATAATCCTCAGAGGTACTTCGAGTACAAACCAGTCTAGGCTACCGTAAGTATAATGTGATATTTTTCAGTCCAGCAAAAGCTTTTGTGGCCACATTAAATTGTATTATTTTGATATTTAATTTTACCATCATTAGTGATCAGTATTTGCATTGTCATTGGCCGTTCTTATGCTAGAGAAGTTAAAGTCGACTTAAGACGATTTTAACGTCCCTAGTAAAGACAAACGCTTAAATCGTCTGACTACATTAACGTCTTCTGTAAATCGGGACGCCAAAAATTGGGACGTATTTGTGCCCAACTCATTCAGAGAAGGCTAGGAAGAGTCAGTGCTGTGTATTTTTTTTTTTGCCCGAAAACTCAGTCTTTTTTGTTTTCACTGTTATCGTTAGCTTTTATGCGTTCCGTTTTTACACCAGTCGACGTTAAATACGTCTAGGCGACTTTACCGTCCCTTGTATAAAAACGGCCATTGATAGTTAAAGTGGTTCATTAACCACTACACAAAAAAGTTTGCATTATCCCAAGTTCATCCGTAACAATGAGATAGGGCAGTTGTATCCGCTCGTTTCGTAATTTGACTAAATCAGAATCTGACTTTACGCGTTTACTGTTAACGCGATTCTAAATCTCTTGATATGTTCCTGACGTAAGCGTTGCTGACTTTGAATAAGTTAAAATCATTCTTACTTTCCCGACACAAATTTTCGTTCGATACACAAGTCACCAGGTTCAGCCACAGTCGGAGGAATAATATTCCTGCAAAACATGTTTCCCATTTAGCCAGGTTCTAAAATTGTCAGATAAATAAACCTGCTGCTAACTTTTTAAACAAGATATAAAAAATGATCATGAACAGCACTGAAAACCTTTAACTATGAAGTCACAGCTCTTATTTGATGGTTTGGTTTTATGGAAAACTAGCTATATTATTAATTCTTTTTCTTTAATTACCTTTTGTTCTCTTATTATTCGTACACAATGTAAAAAGTTATTCTGGCCTCGATTAAATAAAACTTTCACAAAAAGTAATCTCATATAGCGTGCGTCGCACACCATCTAAACGCAGTGGCGGATCCAGGGACGCCCCCCCCCCTCCCCCCCCATCCTCTATTTTTAGACCAAACTGAGGCCCAAAGGGCCGAAAAAGTCTTTTTTTTAAGACCGGGCCCTCTCCTTAGCTCAGGATCTGGATGACCACCGCCGCCCCCCAACCCTCCACCTCCCCCCACCTGAAGGTCTGGATGCGCCACTAAAATCCCCGACATATATAGAATGACAAGTCCGGTAGCAACGCAGGCTATAATCTCAAAGTGTAGCTCTTGTTTCAGCGAATGAAATAAAAAAGGAATGGACTCTCAACGGATTCAAATCGCTCCCTTTCAGTCTCGCATTTAGCTTCTTGGCTATGTTCATAAATAGCTTTCGGAAGTTCAACCTTTTTTATGCTTCATTTGAAAGATTATCTAAGGGTTTTGTTCAGCCCGCTAGCCTTCGAGTTAAAAACACTCAACAGGGTAGCTGAAATCGGGCCCAAGATTTTAAATATTTTTTTTTACGCTGTTTTTAAAATTAACGTTAAGGCTTGTAAAAGTTTTATTGAATTAGTCTCTGTACTTAATCAAACTCGCATCCACGGTCCTCATCTCCCTATACTTACTTCCTCTGGGGTGAGAAGAAAACTAACTTATGCCGACCATGGGAACGGGTTTCGTATCTTGTCCCCGCCAGCCGAAACATAATAGTATTTCAAGGGACCTGTTTTATGCGTTTCCTAGGTTTGAAATCACAGTTGAACCTGTCTGTCAGACTATCACTTACACGTATAAACAAATGCCGAAAGGCGGAAACTACAAATAAGCTATCTACACCGCGAACTCCAAGTAACCAGCTACAGAGCAGTCTCCTACGCAGCTGTTTTTTGTCTCGTCACGCAACGCTCCTCCCCTTGTTGCGTGACGAGCCAAAAACGGCAGCGTGGAAGACTACGTGTAGTTACGGAGAAGTGTAACATACGTGCACACTAACGTACGGTTAACCCTTGCGTTCATGGAGTAAATTGTATGGTGACCTTTCAAATGACACCTCAACAGCAGAATTTCTGCAAAGTATAATTTGTTGGTCGGTGAAGTTTTCCAAAATGAAATTTAGTATTTTCCCTAAACTTTACTTTAGACACTCTAGAGTACGAGAGTGACTGCAAATGACTGCGAATGGCCTCCACGCGTATGATTTATAACTACTTATCTAAGATACTAAATTCATAATGCCTATTAAAGCCTTGCATTGCCAGAGTTAATCACCTAAACGTTAGCTTCATCAGTGACCAACTTTCCTTTCGACTTTGGTGGTAGTTTAAAAGACTTGAGGTTCAACAATGTCTTCAAGGTAAAAAATTCTACATAGGCAGCAAGGTATCATCTCTGTCATCATCAGCTAAAGCATCGTCCATTGTCTAACATGAAAGAAAGAGAAACATGTTTATAAGTTATCAGCCACTGTGATGCGAAACAAACCATAGGGCTATACATTTCCTCAGGATGATCCAGATCAAGATTTAAGATCCAAGGTCAAACAGATCATGGTGCATCAAAGGAACCGACAGCCTGCGAGCTTCCTTTTGTTTTCTTGAGTGAGGAGGAGAGAAAGAGGCTTTGCCTGAACCACGTCAAACCTTTGAGGTCGCCGCAGCCCGAACTTCGGGACTAGTCAATCTTGTCTATATAGAGTGGGTGACACGCGTGTGAGTGGAGTGATGCATGACGCGAGTATGTCTATACCGCAAGGTAGGCCTTTCCAGATTCTGGTCCAAAAAAGCTAAAAAGTAGCTCAGAAATAAGCCAAAAAGTTGCTGAAAAGCTGCTCAAAATTAAAAAAGTTGCTCAAAAATTTTGTAAAGTTGCTCGAATATTTTTAAGACAGCATGTCTAATTTTATTTTATTTTTATTTTTTAATTTTTAATTTTTAATGATGTACTAGTGAGCAGCACACTTACACTTCCAGTGAACATTTTCACTTGGAAGAAGGAGAAACCATGCTCGCCCGGGGCAACGAATTTTTTTTAATAAAAAAAAATTTAAAAAAATTTAAAAAATTACAAAAAAAAAGTTTTAGTAGAAAGGTGTTTAGAAATTTAACCAAGTGAATTTTAACTTGTTTATTTAAAAAAGGGGGGTTACTCAGCATTTTGGTTCAAAATAGTCCAAAAGTTACCAAAAAAGTGCAAGTTTTCCGAAAAGTTGCTAGAAGTTGCTCTCTGACAAAAAAGTTGCTCAAAATCCTAAAAGTTGCTAAAAAGTTGCCGAGCAGAAGCTGGAAAGACCTACCGTAAGGAATGCCGGGAAGAGCAAGGACAAACCATGTGTTTGTGGCTGAAGTAATCTACTAATGGTACAGTATGCAGGTTGTACATACAACTGTATGTACTTGCAATAAAGGTAGTTTACAGCTTATGCATTTGGAGTGTGTAACAGGGTTCATACAAAACATTGCAACCATTTTTCAAGGACTTTTCAAGGACCACCTGTAGACTAGGAATATAATTTCACAAATTTCACAAATGCACATTCCTGTACAAAAACGTACATTCCTTTGCTTCACCAACTTCTCTACATTTTTCAGTTCACTTGTCTTAAACTGATAGCTAATCATTGCATAAAATATAGAGCACTTTACGTAATAAACCTTTAAATTCACTGAGCTATGATTTATATTCTGTCTTGGACAGCATCAAAAAATTCCTTCCAGGCCACTATAAAATTCAAAGTTGAAGAAAATTCAAGGACTTTTCAAGGAAAAATGGAATTCAACGACTTTTCAAGGACTTCTCCTAAAATTCAAGGACTTTTCAAAACTGTGCAAACCCTGTGAAACATCTACTCTTGTCAAACTGTTTTTTTCGAGTGTCGGCATCCGTTTGTGGTTATAACTGAGCCCGCCGTATGTAGCAAGTGCACAGCTATTAGGCCTGGAGTCAAAACTATTTTACTTGATCAACAGGCGGCCCAAGCGAACCAGAGGCGACCCAAGTTCAGTATGAGAGTTTAATAAATTATTACATGTGATTTCATATTGCATAATCCTTAAAAATGGCGTGAACATAGAGGATTTGTATGGGAATTATTCAGGTAAAAGATTCAAGAAGATAAATACTTGCTAGAATTTTCAATAAAATACACCTTACCTTATTTACTATACTTGTTTTTGCTTATTGTGTGGTTATTTTCCCAATCCATTGCGATTTAAGCTATTTCCTTTAAATAACCACACAGCAAGCAAAAACAAGTAAAGTAAATAAGGTCAGGTGTATTTTATTGAGAGTATTTATCTCCTTGAAACTTTTACCTGAATTCCCATACAAATTCTTTTATTTTCACACCATTTTTAAGGATTACGCAATATGAAACCACACATATTAATTTATTAAACTCTCATACTGAGCTTGGGCCACCTGCGCTTTAACAAAAACTGAAATAAAGGTTTCTTCTTCCACACGTATATCCAGCAATGTTCCAGGTACGCTTAACAAAGATCTAACTTGATTCACCTGAGTCTTTCTTGAGTAAGCCAAGATTGGGCAAGTGAAATAAAGACTCTGCTAGCATGGACTGAGGAACTGATGAATCCTTGTTAGGGTGGGATTTTGCGATTGCTTTTAAGCACCTTGGTGTGAATTCCCTTGGATCATAAGCCCCAATACAGATCATCCCCACTGAAAGCACCCATACCCAAAGAGTTAACCCATTCATCCCTTCCTTGATTTAGATTTCTGATTAATTTTTGTGCCCCCGCCTACATAACACATTAACACTTCTTATTTTGATTCAAAGACTCTGAGTGGTCCTTCATCCTCCATGGGGAGAGAAGAGCAAGTAAAATACAATAAAATTCTGAAAATAAGCCCTTCCTTGTATAAGCCCCCCAAACCAGTAACACAAAAAACCCTCCGTTAAATCGCCCTTCCAAATATAAACCCTCTGGGGGCTTGTACTTGGAAAAATGCCCTCAAATACAAAGTAAAACAAAGCAAAAACAGTAAATTTACTTCCAACTATAAGGCTAGCCCAATCGATTTTGAAATGCAAATTTCCCTCCATACAGTAGATAAACCCCTCCGAATATAAGCCCCTCCGAAAATTAGCTCCTCAAAAAGGGCCTTTGAAAAATACAAGCCCCGGGGCTTAGTAACGTTTCTGAAAATAGCCTGTGAAAAGGCTATTGTGAAAAAGGCGGGGAAGTTTTAAGATGCACAATTTATTACAACTACAAAATCTTTTTCTATTCCAACACATAAAGTTTGTTTACTGATACATGTACATGTAGCCGAGTTTTTTGTTTACTCACTTTGTATCTTGTTGGACGTGCCTCTGAACATCGGCACATAAAGTTACACCCATCCTACAAAAAAGAAAATAATTTTGATTGAAATAAAAAGATAATACGTTGTTACGAAAAATTGTATTGCGTGACTAGCGTGACTTTCTAGAAGCTTCGCAAGAGTTCATAGTTTGTTTATTTTAGGATCTATTGTAAGCATTCTAAAAGCGGTATATTTTAGTAATCTTTCTATAATTATACTATTTAGAAAGTTCTGGAATGTTATTGTGAAAGTATTTAAGTAGGCGAGTCCGAGTTAAGTTTTAACTAGTTTTCACAAGCGAAGAGAGTTTGACGTTAGTTGTGTTTAGTCAAGTGTGACGAAGGCAGTGTTTATTCAAGTTGGCTGAGGCTGTGTAAGTTTATCAAGTTAATTCAAGTTGGCGGAGGCCGTGTAAGTTTATTGAGTTACGTGCTGTTGTAGAGTTTTACTTCGTGGAAACTACGTTCATTTTTGGAATAAATCTTCTTGTTGCTGTTCCGACAACCCTGCGTTCAGTTTGGTTTGCAAGCTACCCGTCCTCTAAAAGACTACCCGCGTAACATACATGCATTGTATGTTCTCAGTGGTTAGAGGCCATGAGTTGTGTCATGAACATCTAGGTGAGCATTGTCCTATAAAAAGGTCCATTGGTGAAAGTGATTGACATTTCAACTACCTGTTGACAGATTCCAAGTAAATTTATTGTTACTCTCTCTTAGCACAGTTGTAAAAAAATAATAAACACTTTAAAAAAACTTACAGCCTGCAAACTTCCAAAGTCTCTCCAGAAATCATAATTAGGAATTTGCTCCAAACCTTTCGCACCAGCTATGTATCTCTGGTACAAGAAGCCAAGCAATAAATAAACTGTTCCCACAACAATCAGTCTATAGAAAAAGAGGACACACAGGTTTATCAATAGTATATGAAATTACTGCTCATCATCACCATCACCATCACCATCATCATTATTTTTATTTTTTTTTATTGTCATTATTACAGTGAAACCTATATTANCTGAGGCTGTGTAAGTTTATCAAGTTAATTCAAGTTGGCGGAGGCCGTGTAAGTTTATTAAGTTACATGCTGTTGTAGAGTTTTACTTCGTGGAAACTACGTTCATTTTTGGAATAAATCTTCTTGTTGCTGTTCCGACAACCCTGCGTTCAGTTTGGTTTGCAAGCTACCCGTCCTCTAAAAGACTACCCGCGTAACATACATGCATTGTATGTTCTCAGTGGTTAGAGGCCATGAGTTGTGTCATGAACATCTAGGTGAGCATTGTCCTATAAAAAGGTCCATTGGTGAAAGTGATTGACATTTCAACTACCTGTTGACAGATTCCAAGTAAATTTATTGTTACTCTCTCTTAGCACAGTTGTAAAAAATTAATAAACACTTTAAAAAAACTTACAGCCTGCAAACTTCCAAAGTCTCTCCAGAAATCATAATTAGGAATTTGCTCCAAACCTTTCGCACCAGCTATGTATCTCTGGTACAAGAAGCCAAGCAATAAATAAACTGTTCCCACAACAATCAGTCTATAGAAAAAGAGGACACACAGGTTTATCAATAGTATATGAAATTACTGCTCATCATCACCATCACCATCACCATCACCATCATCATTATTTTTATTTTTTTTTATTATCATTATTACAGTGAAACCTATATTAAGTGGACACCTGTGGGACCTTCCCAAGTGTCCGCTTAATAGAGGGTGCCTGCTTAATAGAGGTTGTAAAAATTGTGCAGTGTTTGTTAATGATCAACATTCAACAGTTACTCTGTACTGTGATAAAGTTGCATGTTGTTAAAGAAGCTATCCAGAGTTCAAGTTCATTACCTTTCAGTGCCAACTTTAATTTGTTTGTAAATCCAAAACATTAACTGACTTCAGTATGTATTTCAAGAACGTAATTCAATACTACTATAATTGTCAATTCAGTCCAGCGTCCGCTAAGTAGAGGTTTTTAACAATAGAAATTAGCCAAATACAACTTATTTTAGTGTCTGTGTCCGCTTAATAGAGTTGTCCGCTGAATAGGGGTTCGTTATTAAGAGAAATATAAGACGTTAATTTTGGGACCTGGCTCAGTGTCCTCTTAATAGAGGGTGTCCGCTTAATTGAAATTGTCCGCCTAATAGAGGTTTCACTGTATTTAAAACTTTTGATTGGCTCGATTCCTGGGTTAATTTTTCCAGACAAGATAGCATGGGCTAAATAAGGAAGGCCTACAAAAATCACCCACCAATAACAATTATTTATATTGACACCAGTATTGTTGACACCACTATGCATTTAATTGCCTCTTGGAATAGAATTTTGAAAAATTGCACAAAACTCACATGATCAACATAATGGAACCTGGACTCAAACCCTTGTCCTTAACTGAGCAAGCTGCATCATGGTTAAGTTCAAATAGGTAATAACATTCCAACGGGACGTAATCGCCTTTACTATCTTTAGTGCTGTTCCTGTACTCCTCAATAATTTTGACAGACCCCTGTAAAGTGAATGTTAATAACTCTTATTCAACAAAATGCAATAACATATGCATCATTAGAATAGATCAACATATACCATGGTTGAAAAATTGCCAGTCCAAGCCCTGGGTGCACATAAATTTCTTTTGTACACTGTACACCAAAACTACATTGAAGTGAGAGGTTAAGCCATATTTTTATTTTCTTATCATGATTTTTTTCTTTCATTCTGGTTTGTGTATTTCAATTTTAGTAATTTAAGCCATAAGAGGAAGAAACTGTCCCTTACAATCAGGGCTGTCAAAAAGTTTTTAAGTAGCAGGCTAATAATGAATAGTAAGCGGCTTTGGAACTCGCACCAAAGGCACAAGTTCTTGGGGGCCGAGGCATCTAGGGACATTTTGAAAATCAGAGTCTCAGAAATGGTATTTCCAGGGGTTTTCAAGAGGTTTTTTCCACAGCGAATGCCATGTTGTTTTGTCAGAACAAATGCTAGACTGGGAACACTGCCGTCAAAATGTCCCAGGCGTTCCAAGACATCGGACGGTGTGAAACGTTCCACAGATCTAATCTGTTTAAATAATTTTATGTGTTCAATGTTATTCAAAACTGGTGCTTACTTTTTGTTAGCAGTTATGGTAGAACGAGATGAAAGTAGGGGGCTAAGGATGACTAACTAGCAGGTGGTTTTGGCCGGCTACCGGCCCTTATTGACAGCCCTGACAATGACTTGTTCTCTGAGGCTAACAACTTTCACAATGCATATATTTCATTTTTCCATAGCAAAAAACTGCATGTAAATTGTAGCCTTGACATAAAACAAAAAAATAATAAAATAATAATAAAATAACAACAACAATAATAATAATAATATTGAGAATAATAATAATAACAATGAAAATAATAACAGACGGTGTATCAACATCTGCGTGTAGGTAAATTTAATACCATAAAATTCTGAAAATACATTTGTAAGCCCCTCCATGTATAAGCCCTTCCAAATATAAGCACCCCCAACCGGTAACGCAAAAAACCCTCTGTTAAATCGCCCGTCCAAATATAAGCCCCCCAGTGGCTTGTACTTTGAAAATTGCCCTCAAATACAAAGTGAAACAAGGCAAAAACAGTAAATTTAATTCCAACTATAAGGCTAGCCCAATCTATTTTGAAACACAAATTTCCCTCCGTAGATAAGCCCCTCCAAAAATAAGTCCCTCAAAAGGGTCTTTGAAAAATATAAGCCACGGGGCTTATTTTCAGAATTTTATGGTATAAGGCTGGCACTATGAGTGGGAAAAATAAAATAATCATACAATCTGGTGTTCTGATTACCTACCTGAGTGTGCAAGATGGCCCTATCTCACCCACTTTGGATTTCTAGCTTTCAGCCCCCAAAGGCAAAGTTTTTGTTTGGCCATAAAAAATCCTTTATTAACCAACTTGTTTGGTCAAGATGGCTGAATATTGACCTCATTCCCTTATCTGCCTTTTTATAGGCTGATGTCATCAATGCAATATACCAACTTCTATAAAAATACACTTTAAAAAAAACACTAGGAAAATATGCCAGCATCTTGACACCATTCTTGTCATAAATGCAAATATTAAGACAGTATACTGCTACAGGCTATAGCCTGACAACAATGTGTAGCCTTCTTTATTGCTATAATAGTGAGCTTATGCAACAGGACAGCTCAAAGATGAAGATGGCAAAACATTAGTGTGTGACAAATGCGACGGTTATTACTTGCGAGTTTTCTCTTGATTCTTATTTCACAATTCTGTGTTCCACTCTTTTACATAAAGATATGTTTAAAGGAAGGTAAACTTTGGCAGAAAATTATTCAAACATGGTAATAAACAATTATTGTTTGTCACACTTGTAGCACAGGGTCTGCCATCTTCTTTCCTCTACCCTCCTTTTGCATAAGTTCACGAATGATACACTGTGCATGAAGGAAGTTGCCTTACCTTTTGCTCGCCTGGATCGCAAGTCACCAGCACAATTGCCATTCTTTCTACATTTTTACAATGACTGTGGTATCGTTCACCCTTGAAATATTTTATCATTAACCAGTCAGCTGTGGTAATGAGAAATTGAAACTGTGATCAGGAAATGATCAGTAACCAATCAACTGCTCATTCATCTACATGGGTGTAACATGGGTGAACCCAGAAGCCATGCCAGAAGTGAGAACTTTTTAGAGGGATACACAAGTACAGTGAAACCCCATTTGGCTACTAACAGGGCTGTCAATAAAACTCGGAACAGGAAGCATATCAGACTAGAAAAAATTAAAACAGTTTTCATAAAAAATGATAAATATAAAAAGTAGAAAATAAACAATACATAAAATAGAAACAACAAATAAAGAAGGAAAGAAAAAGACAGTGTTATCAGGAATTTTGTTGGGCGAGTGAGGGATGTTGGATACAGTTCCATGCAAATGACAGTTATGAGCAAAGGATCCCCTCTTTAAAATATATCAAATTGGCTAACAAGAGTAAAAACATATGTTACATGTAAGTTATCTTTATTCATCTTTCATACATTTTATTAACATTTGGGATAAAAAAGGTGCAAACTTCTGGGCTTTATGAAACATTTCTTCCAATCACTGAGAGCATTAACGTTACAAAATACAGTAAATGCATGAGATCACATATCGTGCATGACATTACATTGCTTCAAACAGTTCAGATGGTCTGCCTGTGCCACTATCTTTGTACTAGTACCTGTTCCTAGAGGCATTTTGTACTCTCCCCAGATTTCACTCACCATAAGAAACCAAGATGGCAGCGAATGCCATCTTCAATTGGCCAGAAAAAAGGGGATTGTAAACTGTACAAAAATATACAGAAACTACCGCGAATCTGAATCTCGTCCACTAAAATCCAAATCCAGGAGCCCCTAAGCTCTTCTTAAAATCGCAGAGCAGGTAAATGCATATCCGCCATCAAAAGATTAAACTCATGACAAACAATAATTATTACAAGAGGTTGCTGTGTGGGGAAAGCTTGAAAAACCCCTCACAAACCCATTTAGTATCTTTCCCCACCTGGCAGGGTTTAACTTGAGTGCCACACAGGGTTTTGCGATGGCCATTGGCAACATATGTATTTCTAGTTTAAATGGTCATAGCATCAACATAGAAAAACAATAGTACTTACTGCCACCAGTAACATGAGCTGCATTATATGTTCCTATTGTCAACCAGGACTTTTTTGTCCATTTTTTCCCCATCTGTTGTACAGCTGCATTTTCCTTTTTATTGTGACAGATTTCTATTTTATATTCGTAGTCATCGTCATCTGCATAATATATACTGCAAAGGATGGAAAGGTATGTTGAATCAGTTAAAAAATTAATCAGAAGCAGATACAGATAAATTCTTATTATTATAATGATGAGCCAATAGACTGGCAAAAATTTGTTCAACATCAGGAGGTTTTGTTACATGTATAACAAGGTTCTTTTTCATGAATGCATTATAAATACTTTGACTGGGGAGAAAAATATTTTGTTTGTTCTCCTCAAGACTTTGTTATTTAGAAATTGTTATATCAAGCATATACTGTACTACAGGGCTGTAATTAAGGGCTGCTAGCCAGCCAAAACTGCCGGCTAGTTAGCTATCCTTAGCTGGCTACTTTCATCTCCTTCTACCATAACTAAAAACAGAAAATGAGCACCTTCGAATAAAATTTAAACAGGTTTAGATCTGTGAAACGTTCGACCAGAGCAATGTCATGGAATGCCTGGGATATTTGACGGCATTGTTCCCTGTCTCGCGTGTATTCTGATGAAACAACATGGTGTCCGTGGTGGAAAAAACCTCTTGAAAACCCCTGGAAACGCCATTTCCGAGACTCTAAAATTTAAAATGTCCCTAGATGCCTTGGGCCACAAGAACTTGTGCCTTTGGTGCAAGATCCAAAGCCACCTACTATTCATTATCAGCCTGCTACTCAAAAACTTTTTGACAGCCCTGTACTGAATGATAGATTTGATTAAAAACTGGCGATCTTAACTGCTGTTGTCCAGTATACCAGCCATGACCGATAATCACACCTTTTAATGATCATAATCAGCTGTAGGGGTGTAACGGTTCATATTCCTTGCGATTTGATTCGATTTCGATTATTACCTTTCGATTTTAACAATTTCGATTTGATTATGTAAATGTTTCTTAATCCTTATACCGTAAAATAACATGGAATGTAAACAACATGCAACCCTAAACCCTCAATATGAGAACAGCAACAGGGACATGAGGATTCACAGTCGCTTGGTTCGTTGCCACATTTGAGAACCTGACAAAGAGCGTGTCGCACATGGTTTGCCTTACTTGGAAATTCTCAAGGGGAGGTTGAAGGATGGCATTTTTACTAGGCAACGCAAAATGGCACACAAACTGCTATGGTCTTTGCTCGTCAATCAAAAGTGCACATTGAAGAGTTCTGGATTCTTATTTTAGAACATAAAAACTCACTGAGGGCACCCTAGAAATGGTGTGCAAAAATCGAGCCAAAATTGAAACATGGAAGCAAAGAATCGTGAATCGAATCGAATGGTCATAATCACGATTAATTGAGAATTCGATTAATTGTTACACCACTAATCAACTGAGAAAGAATCAAACTGTTCTCCAATAGCCACCTTGGGGTTGAGGTATGTGTGTTCTTGAGCAGTATGGTGAACCCTTTGTATTGGTGTTATTTACTTGTTTTGAGGAGATAAAAGATATATTTTGAGGATAAAAGAAAACAACAATTTTCAAAGCTTGTTCATGTTTCAAACATTTTGGATGAAACTTAGTAAAAATAACTTAGAATAATTGGCATGCAGGCCAAAAACAAGCTAGCCTGCGAGCAAGCTCTCCAGGACACTCTGGCAGTGGGGTAGGAAAAGGAAGGAAAGCTTGCAACTACATCTCTGGAATTTGAAAATCTGCATCAAAAAAGTCAAAGTGAAATGGTGATTGGTGGAGATGATCTTAGGAATGACATCATTACCCTTGGCAAGTGTTTTTCAATGTTTGTGTACATTCGCGCTCGTTTCCACTTCGCACTGATTGGCGGAAATCTGATGGCTCAGTCAAAGAGTAGCCACAGGGGAATTGGAGGTGGAATTCAAATTCCAGAGATGGAGTTGCAAGCTCTCCTTCTTTTTACAGCCCCGCTGCCAGAGTGCCCTGAAGAGCTTGCTCGCAGGCTAGAAACAAGCAGGGTGACCCCATCTTTTTACTGTAGTTTTTAAATGGCCTATACATGACTATTAATTAGGCCAAGTTTGAAAAAAATCTGGAGAGTACGTTCTTTTTAAAGGATACGCCATTTGAGAGTTGCCTAAGCCTCAGTTTCAGAGTGAGGCTAAGTGCAAAGCTATTGATATGAATGCTTATTCTCATGCAAATAAAACTCATTTTCACAAGAAAGGTTTTGCTCTAGGCCTTTTTTAGAAAGTGAGATTTTTTGGAACTCGGAAATGGCCTGTTACCTTATAATGTTTGAAACTTCTTTTATCACCTTAAAATGTTTTTAACCTTCTTTCCATCTAGGTTAGCCTGCGAAGCGCAGACGCATTTCTGGTCGTCGCTTCTCTCCCTCCGAAAAATAGCGTCTGCGAACCCAAGCGACAAAACGATTTCCGTGACGTAAAACCTTTTGTTTTGATGTAGGCCAATCAGATCAAAGGATAGAATACAGCTCGAGTGACTCCTCGTGACCTCGCGTGCTGAAGTGTCTTGGATTTTGGAGAGAATTACCAAATACGCTTTGGAACATGAATTTCACGACCATAACAAGGTTTCCTGCGACGTTGAATGCTGACTTCTTTATGAAGCAACTGCTTCTTAAGCTATGTATGTGATGTGGGCCTTTGGTTTCGCTTTATAAAATACGGTAGTACGTGACATAAACAAAACCTGGACAAAATAATCGCTACAGCGAAAGGAAAGCAACATAGCTTAATGACATCGCGCTCAGACTTATTTATTTCAATTTAACCAGCGCTGACAAAAGGTGGTGAATCAATTACACAGACACATCCTTGACTGATTCAGAAATCTCTAACAATCGCTCGTTAATAATTCTAGTATCGCCACAACACAATGATCTGAAATATTATAAACCTGGGCCAGACCCAGCGTGAAATAAATAGTTACAGCAGTAAATAGATCATAGTCAAAATGACATTTCAGCTACGACGCTTCTACTCATCTCACAAAAAACTATGGAAATGAGAACCTTGAAAAGAACATGTATTTAAAGAAATATACCGGAGCAAATATAAAATGCTTTCGATCTGATCAAAGTTCTATCTGAACCAAGAAGCAACCACGCATGGGAAATCAATTACCACATGTCCTACCTTTCAAAGATAAAGGATATCTACTAAAAAATATCTAAAACGGCACACGACAAACTATCGAAGAGTTCTCCAAGGCATACTTTCCTGCCAGGAACCAGAAAGGAACAGAAGCAACAAACGGCATGATGCGTCTACTGTCATTAGGACAGTTATCGTTTCGAATATGATCAAAACAACTACGTCTGATAAATCATTGACTCCGTAGGCAAATAGATGAAAAATGTCCTCTAATCTTTTCTTCGATATGAATCCTCTTGATACTTATTTCGTCAATCAGTCCCACAATCCTGGCAAATTAACTTTCGTAAACGCGTCGTTCTGAGAAAAAAGGACGGCTATACACAAGCCACGTCGTCCTTTCAGTTTCGACTTGAAAACATATCCATCGCGCACGATCCTGCGAGAAGTCTCGCGAGTTAGTTCCTTGATTTTAAGAGCTAAACCGCGATTGGCTAAAAATGTTTTACGTCACGGAAATCGTTTTGTCGCTCGGGTTCGCAGACGCTATTTTTCGGAGGGAGAGAAGCGACGACCGGAAATGCGTCTGCGCTTCGCAGGCTACATCTAGGTTTGACTGGGTAGTTTTTGGAATAGAAAGTGTGTGAACATTAAGCATGAGCTTGCAGTGTGTAACAGTAAAGAAGAGTAAAAAAACAAAAAGAAGTTGAGAGGATGCACAGTAAAGTACTTTGAATTACAGTTGCGTGACACTGCAAATTAACCACATGAATTTCATAATCACCAGCCTTAGACTGAGCAAAGATCCAGCTTAAAATCTGGTTATTCAACTGATAAATGGGACATAATTTAAATTCTCTCACAATGTAGCAAACCAAAAGTACAATACTACACGTCATAATTAACCAGTGATTCATTGTTTCATATAAACTTAAGCTTAACGTACTCCAGCGTCTCGCGACTTTGATGATCATTTCCGCACGGCCAAACACCTGTGCTATGATTTTTAATCAAAATTTTGTCTCGCTCAACTTCTATTACAAAGCACTATACTGTGCGCAATCACATTTCTTCATTTTCACTTTCTACGGCTTATGAACACAAGAACTTTACTTACTCTTTGCCAGCGAACTTCGCAACTCTTGCATTCACGTTGTTTGGATCTGTTCCTTGATGTTGAGGACATATTTCTCCCTTGGTATTAGTCTCGGAAAAGACCGAACGCGAGAGAAGGCTCAAATACAGCACTAATGCTTTTAAAAGAGCTTGAAATTTGTCCATCGCCCTTCAAATTTTCCCAAAAATACAACAGTTGTGAACAACAAGATGTCCAGCACTCCAATCTTATTCCTTTTGCCAGGCTACAAAGTCAGTACACTTACGCCTCGAGGAGTTATGGGTAAGTCATGTGTCCGTCACACGATTCCACGTGTTCAACAATGAGAACTGATGAGAGGGTTGAAAGCGAGAACAAACAAACAAAATCAGGGGGAAAAACGAAGAAAAAATTATTGTGCAAATAACAATCGCATCAGATGATTTTCACTCTGTGTACTCCCGGCACCTGACTTTCGGACGTCTTTTTACTAAGCGCAAAAAAAAGCGCCATTTTCGAAAACTGACATCGCGTTAGTTTCTTCTCTTCATGACGTTACGATGACGTCATCATCGCTTCCTCCACAACCTCGTCCCCAGGACTTTCTTCATTTTCCATGGGAAAATTTGGCCTTCTCGTCACCAGGGCTTTTCAGTCAGAAAATAGGAAAACTCTGAAAACTGGGAAAAAGCCTGGCGACGATGCTGATCTGTTCAGGCTGTGTTTACAAGAAGTAGCCGGGGTTGGTTGTTGATTTTAGTTGTTGTTGTTGTTTTAATTAACTTCATCAACACGTGTGCTGATCAACAGTCATCCCACTATACTCAAATTCAGGATTTTAAATAATAGTAGAAACTGCAATCTTGAGCACCCGTTTTTAATTGGAAGTTGATTTCCACAAGCGCTAATTTCGCAGACTGATCGTTGGAAAAACCGAAAAAAATCTCTCCAAAAACCTGATCCTCGATCAGGCAATTTTCATGACAAACAAGCTGCTCCTGGCTTTAAGCAAGCGCATTATAAATTTCCCGCGCCAGGTGTCGTGATTAAATTAAATCGCGACGACGACGTTAACATTATTGCTTTTATCTCCACGACATGTCTTAGACAAATATAAGCTGAAAGTGTCAGGGGACACTCCCACTGATTACTAGATAAATCCACAATTTTTGCTCAAGCCGTATTCTCAGTCGTCGTTATGCAGAAAAATATGTCGAGCGGTCGAACAAGAAAACCAATTTTTAAAAAGCTTCTAATGTCATTTAGTTCTAGGCAGTTTTGCCGGTTAATTTGACGCTATACCGTCTTCGCTTAAGCAATGAGGCTATTAATTCTATGTCTTCTTCTTAAGACTGCAATAGATTTGATGTTTCCCTTTCAGCTGTCTGCGGCGATCGCTAAGAAGAGAAGAACTAGATTTTTTGTTTCAGGCGATATCGTACTTGGAGCTCTAATTCCGGTGCATTTCTCGCCCAACTTAGCCCCTCATCCTGGGAACACATCATGCCGAGGAGTCTTCCATGTGCGTGGGTTCAAAGGAGTGGAAGCCATGCTGTACGCAGTAGAACTTATCAACAACAATTCAAACCTGCTTCCTAACTTAAGGCTGGGCGTTGACATTAAAGACACATGTGGCAGTATTGACTATGCCATTATGGAAAGTTTAAGTTTTGACTTCATCAGAAACGCATTTGCTGAAAATGAGTTCGCAGGATGCGTTGAAAGCCGGGAAGAAGTCCCTCTGGGGCAAAATAACCACCACAGTGTTTCGCAAAGGTTAAACGATTCAAGCTCTCAATTGGCGAATTCCGGGTCATCGAAGAGTGAAAATACTTCTGTGTCAGGTAGGGATGTATTGATCTTAAAAGTCGCTCGAGTAAAGTTTATTTTTTCCGTCCTTAGTCTACCAAGCTGCTCAAATTTTAAAATTTATCTTTGAAATGATGTTTTGATTATCTTTCCTGGCACAAACTTATGGTATTCTTCGGTTTAAACGGTCAACTGAGGAAAGGCGCTCGAATTACTCTTTCTTTGCCACGTTTGTGAATTAACTACTTTTCATTAAACGTGTAGAAACCCGGTGTAACACTCTTGTGGAATATTGTGTTTATTTGTTCTGTATTCACGTTATGACAACTGTTGTTCAGGTCTTTTATCATATTCTTATCATATTCAAAGTTCACTGATCCTAAAAATGCTTTTGTGGGCTTTTTAAATTTCTTGCCTTGATAAGACTATGATGAGGCCTAAACATACGGGAAAAGATTTTTCATAACACGAATATACATAAAAAATTGGAGAATGCCACATGAAATATATTAGGCGTACGAAAAAGACACGACAAGAAAGTCGTTAGCTTTTAGTTAACAGTTTTTCCTGTTATACTGCTCAATTTCGTTGGCCGGAAAAGTATCAGAGAAAACCAGCTTTTATGTTCATTCGACAGAAGGTCTTCCCTGATCAATAAAAAGTTGAAAATGATTGAGCACCCGATTATTAAGGCTTTCAATTTAGTCAAAGATATCATTTACTGAACTTATTCTAATTCTGATAGTAGTTTTGGCAGTATTTAGGAGATATTGAGCTATTACATAAGGTGGATAGTCATCTTCAATACACCGGCGGAAGTCATATTTTTGCCCGTTTCTACGGTTGCGATAACTGAATTATCCTGATCATCATGTAACGGATGATACAAGCGCCATGCATGCAGGTAAAAAAATAAAGCCAGAAAGCCGCCATTAGGTTTAACTAATAAAAACACAAATTTTTCTTCGTTGAGCTGATCATGATTTATATATTTTTTAGATTTCATCATGTCGGTGGCCTCGATACATATGCCAAATTTTAAGACTGATCCGTTGAATGAAAGTCCGCCAGCAAAATGGCAACTATCTCGATCGATCTCTCTCATAATGCCCGCTCGTAGTTTTTCCGCGTATATTGCATAAAAGCCTACTTCCGCACAAATCGCAAAGGTTCAAATTTCTAGACATCTTCTTTGCGTAGGTTTTTTGGGCAAAACTCCAATTGTAGCTCTGACGAAGACAAGGCGACCCTCGTTTGTAAACTGAAAACGAAATTTGCATGGGTTTTCTGTCAACAATGTCAGCTAAAAACAAAATGCCCTGCCAGTGCAATTCCCGCTTCAAAATTTTATATCAACGACCCCCGGCAGTAAATGTGTTTTGGTAGCTTGAAAAAACTTTAGTTCCATTTCCTATGATCTAGAAAATTTTCGAGCGAGTGGGCGGATTTAGAAATTTATTCTTTCTTATGCCAAATTGTAACGCTTTCTTGAACTTTACTTTTACATCAAGCTGTATAAACAAGAAGAGAACAAGTTTTCAGGAAAGCTCTTCATTTATTCTCGATAAGCCATTTGTAGAATTAACTTTTTGGATATGAAGAACAAAAGTGGTCACATCGAGTATTTTCAACTTGAATATGTTATACATTTCATTTTAAAGCTAAATTGGCATTGCAACATGTTTCGATTAAGGCGTTAAATTAAAACAACTTTCCCTTTACATAAAATTATAGGCAATTCCGAGCTCACATTGAAATTAAATGTAAGCCGCTAGGCAAAAACTGAAGTATTCATGAACTTAAATACATGTTCAGGGCATTCTCAGTTTTCTAATGAGATAAGATGGGTTTCTTAGGTTTCGGTGGCTTGGATGTCAATCATTTTACGACAGGACGAACAAAAGGCTGTAATTACAAAAACCAATCTAACTCAGACATCTGCATCTAATATCTTGCAGAAATTTAAGAAAAGTAGATAAAAAAGAGTGAAAAGAAAGCGTTTGAGAAATGCACATGTAAGCACGAAATGATCAGAAATGTTGTGATGTTGTAATTTGCAACTATTATAATGTGTGTGGTAGAGAACTGACAATTTAGAGGCAATTCTGATCGGTTGGGTCTTTAAATATTGAAACATTGTACATTAGCAGAAAAAACAAATATGATGATCGATACTAAGAGTTATTGCCAGTTCAGTAAGCTCAAACTATTTTTAGAAATAACACCTTACCAAATTTAAAATATTTACCTTCGAAATGTCTTCCTTTGGCCAAAATTGAAGCAACAAATTATGTCGCCTTTGTTGTTGCGATCGCCGAGTAACAATTGTGGCCGCGTGGCTTGTTGTTATAATAGTTGAAGATAAAATAATATATCATATTTAAGAAATAATGATTATGTAATAAAATTTTTCTACAAGTCAGCCACTTTTGTGCCTGGTATTGATATTCTAATACGGGTCTTATTTGCCCAGTCAAATTTACTCTGTATCTTAATAAAATGTTCTTATGGCATGGGCAGATTGAACAAAAATATAATACAGCTCAGGATCAATCCTTTTAAAGGAATGATCAATAGAAATTTTTTGTCTGTAACTGAGAACCCTACTTATCTTTTTCAGAATGCTGTTTCAATAAAACACTTACGGCAGCGATCATTGGAGCGGCTTTCAGCGGTGTTACCATGGCAACAGCGAGCTTGACAGGCCTGTTTCACGTACCTGTGATCAGTTTTGCGTCGACAAGCCGCCTTCTTAGCGACAGAACTAGGTTCCAGTACTTTTACCGCACGGTTCCTTCCGACAACCTCCAAGCTCAGGCGGTCACTGGTTTGCTTCACAGATTAAAGTGGCACTTTGTAATCGCGCTCGCATCGGATAATGAATATGGCAGATCTGGGATCGCTGCGTTAAAACAGTCAATAAATAGCCAGGAAGTACACCGTGTATGCATCGTAGTAGATCAGTTGTTCTCTCGGAAGGGAACCAAAGAGGAAATGAGCAACGTTTTGAATAAGATAAAGCAGTTTTCACAAGCGCGGGTGATAATCCTTTA